GAAGGGTAGCTATATTGGTCACTGATTTTTTTTTGTTGAAATGTTTATTTGTACATTTTGAGTTGTTTGTTTATTATTCCCACTTTAATACATGCAAATAAATGAAATTGGCAAATTTTCATTTTTCATTTAGTTGTACAATAATTCTGCCCAATTATCGTGCATATATATTCTCCTAAGAAAGCCAAAACCTCACTTTTACTTTCTTAAATATTTGGGTTTGAGGTTTATTAATGTTTTGGACTGACCAAGAACACTGTGGTTGTTCAATAAGAAAATTAATCCTTCAAAATACAACTTGCTTAATAATTGTGTACACAGTGTACGTATGTGTATTACTATATTCTTATTTTTTCATGGTTTTTATTTTTTCCTATTTTTTTCTTTTCTCTTCTGTTTTTTCTTTTCATTTTTTTATTTTTTTAAAGTTTTTTAATGACAACCTCATTACAAGCTACATTTCAGTTGTCTGATCTCCATGCTATAAAATACCCATAGTCAATACAAGTATTTTTCAGAATGCTGCGTTTAATTCACTGAATTCTGAAAAATAATGTTGGATGGTTGAATTTGGAAGTTGAAGTCCAAGAAAGGTGGTTGCCACAGGAGGATTGAAAATTGATGGTTCTGATTCAACAAAAATATGTTAAATTAAATGTCATGTTAGTGAATATAAACATGGCTCACTGTAAGATGAAATGTGTAATAATTTATTAATATGCTATATAGGATAAATCTCAGTAGAATGCTAATGCTTATAAATAAAGAACAGCATTTTTTAAAAAAAATAAGTACAATCATGTAAGCCATATGGATTACACACACACACACACACACACACCAATGATAATGATGACAATATGCATTCAGATATATGTGTCAGTATTGAAAATTCTCTCTGATGTTGCGGAGAAAATAAAAACTCTGTATCAAAGCAATCAGATTAATAGAAATGTATGGAAAGAGAATTCTCTTTGTTTGTGTTTTATTCACACCTAAACAACATGATCACAATACATATGTGAAAGTGTAAACTTGAATACTGTGGCTTTTACAATGTATCACAATTATGGGAACACCTGTATTCAATATTCCATAGCTTTCGTAACAGATTTCAGTGCAGCTGGGAATGCAACTTTTTAATATAAGGATAAAACCAGTATAAGAGACAAAAAGCTGTATGTATGAGGGCAATTCTGGCCACATGAAATAAAGCTGTCCCATATCATCCTCTGGGTGTTTCCCTTTAATTTTCAGAAAGAGATTTTAGAAATTATCAAGGTGGTACTCTATGCTGGGAAAACTAGGAAAATCAATTGCTTAAAGATAATTTTATAGTATTTGCAATTAAATTGAAATATTTATACCATGCACAGTTGTGCCACTGATTAACAATTCAATCAAAGTCCTTTCAGAAGTGATGCATAATTTTTATAAGTAAGCAAAAGCATTTGTGTTAATTGAAAAAGCTCGCTAAGGCCTAACATTTCTTCTACTATAATAATATAGCGTATATCATGATTGTATTCTAAACCTTCTGAACTAAAACTTTGTGTGCTCTTAACTGTGGATATTTAAATATTTTAATCATTTTGTTACTAATTATACCCCAATTTTTCATGAGCCTTTCTAGAATTTGTCTTAGATCAGGGGTGTCAAACTCAATTTCACTGAGGGCCGCATCAGCATTGCGGTTGCCGTCGAGGGGCTGGGTAGGTATGGCCAGGGTGGGTGCGGCCTACTGGGTGGGTGTGAATGGAGTAGGTGTGGCCTACTGGGTGGGCATGGTCAGCTCTATATCGTTCGTGTCAAGGGTGCCTATGGGGGTCTGGGCAGGAGTGGGATAGATCTGAGGGTCTCTGGAAGAAGGTGGTGGGACCGGGGCAAGTGCCAAGGTATGGTCCATTTCTTCATTCCTCACAAAGGGTGACACCTCCCCAGCATGCACCCAGGGGGCGGGGCCGACACAGCAGGGGCTGGTTCCTCACTGTTTCTAAACGGCCTTGTGGAGCTAAGACTGAATGTGTTTCAGCATAGATGGCCACCACAAAATTGTACATTGGCTCCCGGCCGGCCTGGGCCAGGGCCAAGGCATCAGGGGCCATTCTCTCGCTGTTTTCAGGATGGCTTCACGGGCCACATGAAACCGCTTCGTAGGTTGCATCCAGCCCCCGGGCCTTGTGTTTGACATGTCTGTCTTAGATCATAACTTTGCTAAGATATATCCACAGACTATTTCAAGTAGTGACTAAAGCAACCTTTCATTATAGAGGGAGTTTTGTAGTATTTAAGTTTTTTGGAGATAAAACTCCTTCTTGTTAAATTTGTTTGCATGAATAGAGGTCTGCCAAATCATCTGTGAAGCACCTATTAGAAGTAGATTAGCCTCTTCTTCTTACACTGGCAATATTTATTGTGACAGGAAAAGAACCACTACTGTAGTTAACAATACAGTAGTTATAAAACAGGCCAAAGAAGTACAACGTGGTCCTAAATCTATATTTCTAATAGATAATACAATTTGCTTTTGCTTTCTATTATAAAGAATACCCTACTCTAAAATGTTATCACTGCCTTTTTCTTCCTATTACTGTGTTCCATGGCTATGTTCATGAACATGGATATTTTCTGTCAGATCACATATTAAAGCACTATGATTTTTTTGCACTTTTACAATTCTACAGCTATATACTTACATTATGAATTGTCTAACATTTAAATAATATATATTTTATTGTATATAAAGCACTAATTGTACTGTTATACTGATCTGCACATCTAAGCTAATCTTAAGACAACCTTTCAATTAAGGAATTACTTCAGCAACTGGAGCTTCTTTCCTTGAGTGAATGCTTTCAGCTTTTCTACTTCTCTCCTGTTCACGCGACTTAGGTAAATTTGTAATTTTCACAACATCATACTTCCTTTACACTAAACTCCAAAACATATGGGGAGTTGCTCTACATAATGAGAGTTTAGCAAAAGACAGAAATGGGAGTCTTGTGCCATTTTTAAAGTGCTCTCATTCCCTCAGCTGTTATAGATAATTATTTAATAATTTTTAATTTATTTTTATTCAGTAACCATTGTACAATATTAAGTATATGGAAGACTAAAAAGAAGACAAACCTACACTACTAATTCAAGGCAATAAAGGAGAATTCAATTTAGAATTCTAATAGTGGTATTTTATAAGCCATTAGCATACTCTGTACCTTACAAAATAAATAAAAACAAATAAAACATCTGACCTAAAGCAGATTTTTCCTTTGCCTTCTGCAAGGAAGCATATGTTGTAGCTGCAATAGAAATTTTATCCTTCTCTAATTATTAAAGCATGCAAGACTAATTTTCACAGTCCTACACTATGTCCATCTGTGTCCTGTTTTAATGTAGAACGCAATACTATTTCCAGAATCATTTCACCTAAACTGAAACTAATGCTATTTTTTATTCTTTTTCTACCGCATTTGTCCATTAATGTATGTCAGAACAGGGATCACTGTATTTTAGGTTCGTTATTCTAAACCAATGACTGCATTTCCCAACTTCCAAAAATCATCATCTAACAAGTAAAGAAGACTGCCCCCACAGATTCCCAGTGACAATATATAACTGAGTATAACTGTCCAGTGTAAGTACAGGACATTTTGTCATTTGAATTTGCCCCATCCAATCAGGAAGAGGTGTATCTGCTGCCAACATCTGATTTTCTTCCCACCAATGATGGTTCAAAAACAAGACCAAAAGAAGAAAAATGTTTTCTCCCTTTCACTGATGGAGAAATAAAAATGTACCTTGCATCAAGATCCGACAATAAATCTGGAGAGAGGCTTAAGGCTTTGGAGGCAATGATTAGTTTACAATCCCTCAACACAAATATTACAACTACAGTTGTGAGCTTAAAATAATAATTAGGATATCTTAATAATTCCAAAGAAAACAAGTGTATGGCTTAAAAAAAGGGGCTAGGTTTCAAAAGAGGAAGAATGAATAGAGAATAATGGATAGGCCCATCTAAGATGGTAATTAGGCTTTAAAGAAATACTGCCAGGCAAGGCACGATTTGATTATATAGAAAAGAAATCTGACTTCTAGTACCACTCTCATCTAGTTATTCACAGCACCTAAAATGGGGGAGAGAAAGCAGCTATTTTCTTCCTCTACCTTACAATACTTTACCCCACAACTTGAGAAGGTTTCAAGTTTTTTCTTTTCCTTAACTTACTGGAGGCTGGAAGAATTGGTAAAAGATTAAGATTATGGCTGCATTCTGATAATAAAGGGAACCAACAGAAGTTTATTTTGTCATAAGTTCTTGTTACAATATGAATCTCTAGTTTTAGCTGCAATTTACAAAGTCATAAACATAAAGATAGTTTCTTTAATCTACTAAATATCACAATTATTATTTTGTATTACTTGCATGAATGAAGGCAAATGGATCCTGTATTATCTTTTCCCATAATGTCTACCAGACTTCATTCTTCAATGTGACATCCCAATTAACATCCCCATGAAGAAATGTGTTCCATGGTCAGACCAATATATCAACTGGAACAGATGCTGAAATATGCATTTCATAGAACGCTGTTCATAACTCCCAATCCATACCTAGATACCCATACATATATTATAAGCACATACACTAACAATCCATCTCCTAAATAAAATACATTGTGTACATGTAATGCAATAGAAACATGCATAAAAATATAGGTGCATTTTTTAATTAGACAGTTGATCCTCAAATAGAAATTCCAGTATGCAGTTTTGGTTAGAAAATTAAAACTTTGAAGAATTCACTAATCTTAGTTACAACTAAGCAAATTATTTTGACAAATTATATAAATTTATAATCATCCTACATAATAATGAATTTGGAATATAATAGATTGCTTGCTACCGTGGCAATCTGGCCAGAAAAGAAAACCTTAGAAAATTAAAATTCAGGTCACATAAATTCTTTGATTTGATATATAGTTGAATTTCACTCTCACCTTTCACTTGTTCAGAACACAGCTCCTTGGCTTTGTCTTTCATTATTTTTGGAATCAAAATATCCTTTTCTACATGTCTGAGCTTTGGCTCCCCTGCAAGAAAAAAATATACATAATATTTCCAACCTTAAATAAAAGTCACAGCTGGATTAAAAAAATAAGATGCAACATGTGAAGTCCAAAATTCTGAACAAGGAATAAATATAATTTCTATTTTAAACTAGTTTTAATTTATCATGACTTTGATTCAGCAATTCAGAAGTTTCACTGAGTTTTTACTACTCACTATATTTTTAAATAATATATCCAAGAAGGCTACTGGCTAGAATAATCCCATTTTATCTTCACACAATTCCTGGTTTCACTATATCTAACCAGCAAGCAATATCTGAACTCTGATCTTGCCAGTGAAATTCTACTACAATACATTAATCAGTATATCACTTAAATTCATGACTATTAACATACAATAGGGTTTTCAGAACAATAGCTGAATAAACGTTATGGTAAAATGATGATATAAAAATAACTATTTTAATATATTTAAGTACAAAGCAAAGCATTACTCAGGCTGTTTCCATTATTTTAGCTAATATGATACAGGCAGAAAAATGTCTTATAACATCTGAAGCTATTACTGAAGGGAAGGATGGAAAAAATGAAATAAGGAGCGCAACAGCAGCCACAACTCTCTTTTAGTTTCCAAACCTATAGTGCAGGAGATCAGAAAAACTTCTTTTGACAACCACTAGTTTATCTTTGGCTGCTTCAAAATCTAGGAACTGAAGTTCCTTACTATATGGAAGACATCACTTGATGAAAGCAGTCTTAAAGGCTCTCTCATATCAGATCAAAATGTCAACATCAGTTGAGCATTGAATTATGAAAGACAGATTATTCCTGACTTAGAGTAATTTTCCAGAGAGAAATCTATCACATTACCTGCTATGTTTCTTTAATTGAAGACCACAGCAACAGGAAGACTTTAAAGCTATCTCCAACATGTAAACATTTCCTCAGCTTTAGAGCTGATGACTGCCTCTTTCAAACAAACACAATATAATGCAAATCACAGTTTATGATTCACTGGGAGAAATGAAAAGATAAACTATGTAAAACATTATTTCTATATCTTTATTTTAAAAAAATCAACTGATCATATAAGAATGAGGCGGGAAGTGATAATTTTGGATCAGTGCCTACAGAATTTCAAGTCAGACTCATTTTAAACTATTTTATAAGAAATATATATTATAGTACTTTTTAGAAAAAAAAATCTGTTGTATGATAATACTTTGTTTCCTCCTCTTTCAGCCCAATGCATTTTTCATTTAGATTATATCAGCTGCATTTGAATAAAGTAGGAATTTTGACTCACTTCTGAAAATTGAAAAGAAGTCTTCACTTGCTTTGGAACATTTTAAAAAGATGGAAAAGTTATCACAGTGAGATAAAAGTAGGCCATCAATGGAAAACAGCTGTTCACATCTACCCAGGTTAACCCTGAGAATGCCTAGAGCAGGGGTAGACAACCTGGCTCTTTTATGACTCGTGGACTTCAACTCCCAGAATTCCTGAGCTCAGGAATTCTGGGAGTTGAAGTCCATGAGTCATAAAAGAGCCAAGGTTGCCTACCCTGGCCTAGAGAGAGAAATGGTCAGACTGCCTCTTGTGGTCTGACTAGTAGTGATTTCTCTCTACCAAACTACCGGATTTTAAATCTTCCTCGCTCTGTCTGGATGAAACCCAACAGAATTAGATGTGACACTGGAAGAAGTGCCTCTGCCCTGTATCAATGGAGCTGGAATGATTCCCCTGTTGCAACTGTAGGGATAACATGCAAACTATTAAATATATTGTGCAAGACTGCCCACAATGTACGTTTTCTGGTTCCTTAGAAGATCTGCATGAAGCAACACCAGAGGCGATTGCCTGGATAGCTGAACTGGACTGCCACTGCTGTACCTCTGTAGAAGTTTTGTATACAATTATGTGGATTGTATATATATGCTTATTAATCTTTATCTTGTTGTCATCATATACTAAATGAATAATAAAGTGAGATAATATAACAGAATAATAGAATTGGAAGTTCTTCTAGTCCAACCTGCTGCTCAAGAAGCGCATATACTTATATGAAATTAATGATAATTCCCCTTTCTTTTCCACTAACATTTTCTTTTAATTGGGTATTACACCTTACTATAAACAGGCTATTGAAGTTTCTATAGTACCATATTCAAAATTGCTTGGGAGTGAGTTTACTAAATTAGGTAAGATTTCCAAATGCAAGAAGATAACAGAACACAAGTTTATTTCATTTTATAGCTTAAAATTCTTCAGAAAATTGCATATATTTCTATTATCCTTAACTTTTAAATTTTGAGATTTTATTACTTTACATTTGCATCAATTTAAATTAAGAGAGGGAGTAAGGATGACACTACCAGAAGAAAAAAATTCAAAGCTTTAACTTCTCACTATGCTATCATCACCTTGAAGTCAATTTTCACCTTTTTCACTGGCTGAATCTGTTATCTTACATTTTGCTTTGGGGCTCATGTGTTCTTGCAATATAGCGGTACTGGATTATGAGAATTCTGACAAGCATGTTTGCTAAAAAAAAAAAGTCACAATGCTTATATTCTTGAAGGTAGAAAATCAGATTCTCAAATAATTCTATGACAATTGGTGAAATAAATATAAAATACGTATAGAGATTGAGAGCAACTATACAAGCAAATCAGTGGCACGGGTTCAATAACACAAATATAAAAGTGAATAAGATCAAAATAAAAATAAATACATCAACCATTAATTCTTACTTTGGCCAATACAGTACTTTCAACAAGAAATGAGAGATCAGTCAAACCTTTGAAACTAAAGGAAACTACAATAACTAGAATGCAGGGACACAAGTGAAATTTTGGGGATCACAGCTAGCAAGGAAAGAATTAAACTTCCTTGCATGCTGCAACTTTGAGGTAAATTCTCCTTGTGTTCAGTATTAGTTAAAAAGCATTACATACACTCCATGTAAAGTAATAGGTCAACTGGCTTCCAATCACAGAGGTGATAAGTTAATTTTCTGCATATTATTCCTGTGTAGGAAAATATCACTTAGTGCATCTGAATTTAAACTAAATCTATCAAAATCTCTAGGATTTAAATAAGCTTAATTTAGTTTAATAACAACCATACTTATGTTTCAGATTAAAATACTTTTGTTCAGAACTTGAGCTTCTCAAATATGCCTTATACATAACTATATTACTTCATTCCCCTTTCTCAACTTTCCAAAATGCTATACAAACATCAAATATGGTACCTCTTATCATAATCCTTAGCCATTCCCAAGGTAATGTATGCATCTCTGAGCATATACATGAATCTAATTATAGAAATGCAAAATTCCACAATTACAGAACAAACACACTATTAGGATATAGGTGATTCCCCAAGGCAGTTATCTTTAAAAGATGCTGGATTATATCTGTCATAATCTTATTCACTGGGAATAGTTGTTTAACTTAACAAAACTAGAAGGTTCCAAGTTAGAAAAGAGGGACCTGGACTTCATAGCTGTTTTAATATGTACCATCAGAAGAGGAACTTCCAAAGAACATCTTTCCACTATTTTAGCTCTACAAAAATAAAGTGGGGGGGGGGTAGAGAGACTTAGAAGCAAAATTAGTATTAGTAATAAGTTATCTATAATTATATTTCTCATTATTAAATTTTACAAAACTATTTTCCTACGAGTCAATTGAAGAATTCAGTATAATATATAATTACAATTAATGCAGCATGTATATAAAATATTTTGTAGTCAAAGGATTGCAATGTCCTAATCCAGTGGTGGCAAACCTATGGCACATGTGCCAGAGGTGGCACTCAGAGTGGGGGCAGGGGATGGAGGGGGCAGGGCCAGTTTTTGGGCACTCGGTCTCAAAAAGGTTCGCCCTCACTGTCCTAATCTGAGCTCTGAATTGACTATTCTGCTTGTTCCAGAAGTGGTTCAATTTCAAAACAGCTACCACACTTTATTTCAAGATCAAAATAGTCATTCCAAAGTCAGACCACTTCTGGTAGCCATGAAATGTTTTGACCATGAAATGTTTTGACCATGTTTTGTACACTTCTATAGTATTAACTATACAGACCAGTTGAGAAGTAATATAACATGCTAATCAAGCAAAATTGAAAAAAATACTATTTAAGGAAATCATAAGTTCCTGAAGTAGCAAAGAAACATGGGGAGGGGGAGAAGCTGAATACCCTCAACTTTTGAGGCTTTTATTCAGATGAGTAAGCAAATTACAGGAAATGCTCAGATTGCTGAATTCGCTAACATTTTCCCAAAAAAAATTTCTATATGTAAGAGGCACATATAAAAGAGTGCCCCACAAGTGAGAATGCTCCTCAACAGAACTTGGTATCAAGAACTCCACAAAAATGGAAGTGAAAATATGAGACAGAACCTTTATATCTGCCACTGTTGCAGTAGGGAAAATCAACATAAACATGTGAGTTAATGAAACATGCTTCTGGAATCAGCATGGGAAAAAGAGAGATGAAATCAACAAGTTCAACAGTTAGGGATGTATGGTTCAAGTCAGTTTAGAACTAGTATGGATTTCCTCTAAATTTAATGCTAATCAGTTTGCTTTTCATCTGTTTTTCATCATTCAAGCCAAGTTTAGGTTGAATTATTTTTATTTTAGACAGGATAAATATAAATGTTTTTTTGCTTCTGTAAATTGGACTCAGAACAAAATGGGAAAAAGTATAGAAGTAGGAAGACGTTGGTTCCCAAAATAACTGGGAAGGATGAGGTATCTATCAAGGTAGTATTGGAGACCTAAAATGGAGTATTTTAAAAATATAACTGTAGTAAATCCATGTTTTTCCCATACAGATCTTTCTTGTATCCTACTGCTTAATAAGCCAGACTTGTGAACTGCATGCATTCAATTAATGTGCAGTACTTTTTAGTATTTAAACAGCAACCAAAGTTACAATGAGACAAGAAAAAATATCTTTTCCATATGACCCTGATAGAAATCAACTTGTGAAGCTGCTGTTCGCATAGCACAGCATATTTCTACTAATAATAATGGAATCTTTCCTTGCTACATAAATAGCTACTTCCAGGAGACTTTTTACATAAGAACATAATTAAACTTTTTTTCATCCCACATCTTTACATTTTTTTAAAAAAAAAGTATGCTAATTGCTTTTATTTGGTTAATATTAAATTCGTTAATGTGAACTAAAGCTATTTGATAAGCTTTGGAACTTTGTTCCAATTTTCTCTTTTAATAAGCACTGATACACAATGTAAAATCGGCATTAGCATTTATGAAACTATAAGATAATTTGTTTTATGTTATGTAAGTGGAAGAATGTCTAAACCAGCCATAAAAACCTGGGAGAATATTTTAAGCAAAGATTTAAACCCATCTCCATCCCTTACAACTTGTTACAGGATGTATATAAATACAAATAAAATAATTTACAAGCGAAACATATACGGTAGGTGTAAATGCAGCCCAAAAAGTATCAGTAAATTTGATTTTCAGTTCAACAATTTTTTTCACTTTGTTCCAAAAGAATGTATTTGTATTTTTAATTCAACTATTTTCAGGTTTGCTCCAGAAGAACATATTTGTGTCATCTTTTGTTTGACTAACAATTGTTAATGTGGAATGTGGAATATGCATCATATAGCTAATATTCAATGCTTCGTGCTACATACAAAAATTCAAGCCAATTCAGAATCTTATACATACATATACTAACAAAAGGTTGGTTTATGTGTATAAAAGGCCAGGTAAGGGGGGGGGAGTTAACTCCTGGATAGGTGTATGCCAGACATGTCAAACACAAGGCCCGGGGGCCGGATGCAGCCTGCAAAGTAGTTTCATGTGGCCCGCGAAGCTATCCTGGAAACAGTGAGGGAATGGCCCCGCTGCCTTGGCCCAGGCCAGCCAGGAGCCAATGTACAATTTTGTGGTGGCCATCTTGGTACTTGCCTCAGTGGACCATGCCTTGGCACTTTCCCTGGTCCCATCCCCTTCTGCCAGAGACCCTCAGATCTGCCTCACTCCTGCCCAGACCCCCCATAGGCACCGTTGACGTGAATGATGTAGAACTGGCCACGCCCACCCAGTAGGCTGCACCCATTCTGGCCACACACACCCGGCCCCCCCCAGGGCAACCGCAATGCTGATGCTGCCCTCAGTAAAGTTGAATTTGACACCCCTGGTGTAGGTCAACCCCCCCTTCTGTTTTGACAGCTCCTATGGCCTAAACCTCCTGCCACTTTTCTTTCAACACTTGGCACTCCCTGCAACCATAATTGTCAAAAGCCAAGCAATTCCACAACCAGTTCCACAATCCTAAAGTAGCATGAACCAAGCATAACATTTTGATATTTATAATCATGAATTGAGAGGGGGAATGAAAATCCATTCTCCACCTATCCATTTAACATGGCTCGGTTTACTTTGTATTTTATGTTGCCCTCTGATAATCTCAAATGCATCTAATATAGTCTTTGCTCAGTGACTGCTTTGGAAAGTGACTGCTTTGAAAGGTGAAGAAAATTGTGTAGTAATATGGTTAACAGTGTCATATGCTGCAGTTAGACCGATAGAAGCCACTCTAATAATTAGCTTTCTTTCTATCCTCAATCACTAAATGAAAAAAAATCACACGACCGCAAGTATGCCTATGATTTTGCACAGGACAGGCAAAATTAACTGACAGGCAAACACTTGATTAAGAGATGCTGCAAAGGTCACAAATGTGGTCATTGATTGTAAAGTTACTTTTTCATCACTTTCCAAAGCAGTCACTGAGCAAAGACTATATTAGATGCAGAAACTGATAAACTACAAATGGGGAGTTTAATCATATACATTGTGCACAGAAGTTTGGCCTTGAGCATCTCTGCAATACAGTATCTGCTCCAATGTGGGGCACATCTGCACACGTGAAACAATTTGATATTAGTGTCAATGAAGCAGTACACTTAGTGGCAGGTTGTCTCAAACCTACATTATCTCACTGGCATTGTGCCACCTAAGATCAGGAGAAAGGTAGCAGCAGATGCTGAGAGAACTAAGCAAGAGAATGATATCCTCTGAATGGACATATGCCCAAGCCTGTCAACTGAGATCTAGGGACAGCTTTATGGCAAGAACAAGCATTCTTGAGGATACACAAGAATAAAATCAAATTAAAAGACGGAGGAAGATCACCAAACAAGGAATCACATTAAAGGATTTGGCTGAAGGATCTGACTTCCCTTATACTACTTGGAGGGTCCTGAATAGGTTGAGAGTTGGAGTGCCTAAATGTAAAGCCAATGTGCTCAACTGGAGGCTCTTAGCAAATAACAACATGCTATGTGAATGCGGAGAGACAGAGACCAACACATCTGCTGGTATGTTGCTACTACTAGAAACATGCACTGATAATAACTTATTTTTGGTCAATGACAAAGCCAAGAAGGTGGCTTCATTCTGGCAGTTTAAACTTTGATCTAGATATGGAAGAAGAAGAACTTAGTGATTGTTTTGCTTAATGCCTGAGTCACCAGTCACATTTGTGGTCACTGAATGAGGACTGCATATATGGCCTTGTCCATCCTCCAAAAGTTTCTGTTACTATGGAATGGGAAAGCAGCTTCCAAATATATACAGCAGTTATCTCAACACATCTGAAGCAGAAAAATAAAGCGCTCAAAAAAGCCATTATTATAAGGCTTAAGATTATTATATTTTGAATTAAAATGGTCTAACTATGTTACCATTTCAAATAGAACCACTGTGAACCTAGATAGGACAACAGATTTGTAATCATTCTGAATGCAAAATATCCCTGGTTCATTTTATGTATGTTTGGTTAAAAGATCAAGTAATAGGGAGCTAAGACTTCTGGCTGACAACCCAACAAGCCACTGTTAGAACAAAGAAGATTAGATTAAATGGAGAACTACATTATTCACACATTGCACTATACTGTAATACAATGTACAGTAGTCAACATAAACAAATTATGCTTAAAACAATGTTTTTCAAATGTGGCAACTTTAACATGTGTAAAATGCAGTTAGGAGTAGAACTCTTAAAGTTGCCAAGTTTGGAAAACATTAACTTAGAACAATGTGTAAGTATGCACAGGTTATAGCACTACTTATATATATTTGTCTGATTGCCAAGCTCGCTTTGCACAGGATTTCCTTTAGCAATGGCATTCTAGATTGGAGAAAAAAAAACAAAACACCATGGAAGTCAAGTAAAACATATAAATAAAACCTTAGCAACAACTTGGGGGGGGGGGAGAGCAAAAGCAGTCGCCAACTATGTAACATGTTCAATGTTATCACAGCATCATACAATTTATAAATATTGAGAGGCATTTGTAGCATAGAAGCTATCATACAAATCGGAAAGTTATTTGTTTAAGACATGTATCTATCATTCTCTCCCTTAGAAATCTATTATCTCTGAGTAACCATTACTTTCAGTCACAATGCACTCCATTACCCACAGCCAACCCTAACCTGATGACGATCATTCCCTTAGAAATTCAAAAGTTGCACAGTATTCTATAAATCTGGAGACTCCTAATAAAAATGATGTTTTAACATAGTTTTAGATTATTTCTCTTCCCACTAAGGTTAGGACAGTTCCTTTCATATTTTTATGTTAAGTTGCTACATTGTTTAAAGAGAACAATTAAGTAATACATGTAAGTATCTGATTATTTGGGAGCAGTTTAAAACTACTGCATTTTGATTTTATTTAAATGAGAATAAGATTCCTTGATCAACATTCTTCGGCACCATTTTTGTCCATTAGAAAGTGAAATATGTGGGGGCACTAAAACCACTCACAAATCTAGAGTCAAAAAGCAACACTGCTTCTTTAATATAACTTCAATCTTTAATAACAATAATCCATAGTTTCAAGAATGGTACAATGAATCTGGAAATCTGCTTACTAGGAAAAGCATCGAACGTTAAAGCATTGCTTTGATAATCTCAGTATTCTCTCCCTCTAAAAGTCATCTCCAGGTGCAGTGAGACGATTATGCCCCTCAGAATTTCCACCCAGCGTGGTCTTTATTCCTTGCTAGCTGGGAACCGTAACCCCAGCCTATCTGGAAAACCCCAGTGTAAAGACAGAGAAAAATAAAAGCAGAATTACAATATATGAGAGGGAAAGGACAGGTGCTGCTGATTGTAGAAGCCCTCCACAACGTTGTGATTCATGTGCATAAAATAGCAGGGGAAACAACTGCCCCTACCTGCAGTACTACAGACAGACTCCATCGGCAGCTTGTTTGCCATAAGGAGCAGTTACTACTCGAAGCAGGAAACAACCCATACGCAATTTCACAGCCCCGGAAACGCCCGGTGTAAACGCCGCGCGACCTCTACAGCGTTCGTCCTCTACGTCACCAGACAAAAACATCCTCCTGAGGTCGTACGGCGCCTGCGTCAAAGAGTTTCTGCGGCGACTACAGAAGGAGCGGTCCCACAGAAAGTGCGAAGCAGCGGCCCCTAAGCATCGGAGGGTATTGACCTGAGAGAGCCAGCGCTGTAACTGGAGCCTCTCCGGGCTCTTTCGTTGTGTTTCTAAAAAAAAAGAAAGAAAGAGAGAGAGAGAGAGAGAGAGAGAGAGAGAGAGAGAGAGAGAGAGAACAAGAAGAGTTTCAAGAATCAATGTGGTATCTTCTCCCTTTTCAGGAAAAATTCCCGGGTGTCTGTGTCAATTGAAAGACTGAGAGAAATTGGCATTAACAACTTTCGAGGGAATAGTTCAAGGACAAATCCATGCAGTTTCTTATGCAAAGAGTTGTCATTGTCTTCTGGATAGTTTATTGACTTCCCAACTTAACTTACAAGACTAAGAGTTCGTGGTGGCACTTTATAGCCTGACTTTGCTTAGTTTTTTTTTGAGATCAGTTTTCATAGTCTACGAAAAATATATATATAATTTTTCAGGATTATCAATTTCAGCAAATTGAAGGGTTCAACAAATGAATTTCTTTGTTATCTCTTCTGTTCAATTCATTTCATATATTTGTTTTGCAATTCAGACTTAATTCTCTGTATTGCCAAACCAGATGAATCTATTTAGCATTGACAGTCACTTTTCTGTTCAGTACATATTCATTCAATACCTATTTATTCTTAATTCTTACCTTTCTTAGTTTCCTTACAAGAGACAACATAATACAGAAAATAATTTACTTGCTCTTGTTTTTTGCCATTCCTGTATATTCTGCACTATTTCCTTTCTGTGAAACACAACTATTGCATCTTTGAAAGATTAATTTTAGTACAATATTCCTTATGCAATACAGTATCTTTGCAGCATTAATTTTTTTTGTATCTTACTGCATCCCTGTAAATATCAGGTCTCAGTCAACAGCACAGTACCTTCTGCCTAAAAAGTACACATATATTCATACCATCTACACACTTTCACAGGCACCACAACATTTGTTTTGCATTTATCTGCAGATACATTAAGCAGCCAGGGGATGTCACACATTCTTGTTTTAAAGAATTATTCTCAATTCAAGGCATATTTGCCAATATGATGTTAATCCCAATCTATGTTCTAACCACAAATATTAAGGAAGCCAATACTAAATAATTCTATGCTAATTTGCAACATAATATCAGTACAGTACAAAAAAGCTTAATGTTAATTACATGTAATGCTAAAATTGGTAGTAAATAATCATCTGGAATAACAGAAAAATAGTGATTTTGTATATGAAACAAAGTATGTGATAGACTAGCAATGTTCTGCCAAGATATAGTAATGAGATTTCTCTTGAAAATACTTCTGATAACCTAAAAAATAACTTTACATAAAGAGATCATCACATGGATATCTATGAAACCAAATGGAAGTCCCAAAGATGTTTTTTTCTGAGTGAAGAAGCTTCTTGGATGAGAAGCAAAATGTCTTCAAAGAAAAAAAAAATCAAGTTGAGTTTTGAAAAAGCACTATTGAACAACCATGGCCTAGATGACTCAGATCTCCATGGAAATCAAATAGACTACATACTTTGAATGAAAACTTAGAGGAACTTTATTTAATCAACAAAAAGCCTCATATTGTGGAATGAAGATACATGTCCCCTAGAAAACATTACTAACAATAGGGCTTTAGAAGTTGATAAAATATAAGTAACTGTTTAAAATCTTATGAAGTAATGTAATTAATGTGCTTCATATAGTTTGTAAATATGCATTAGAAAAAAACAATCATAGATGAGGGATTAGGAAAAAAAACTTTTTTTCAAGTTACATTCAAGTTTTCCATGTTGTATTGTAATATCAAAAAAGATAGTATAAAAAATGCTCAGAGAATCAAAGAGTTGCGCTTACCTCACCAGTTAAGATAACACTCAGGTCTTTGTAACTATGAATAAACAATACATGGAATGAGGAAGCCCAGATGTGCAAACTGGATTCAGAAATGGTAGGGCATTTAAGATAGTATTATCTATCATCTAATGAATGATGGAAACAGCAGAGAAGTTCCAAAAAGGCATCTATTTCTATTTAATGTGTGGCAACATGTCTTGTATTAGGTTTATGTAGAAGTAGAGAGGGGTTATAACGGGACAAAAGTCTATTATATACTCTAATCAGGTATGAATATAGCCCTAAAGTAAATTCCAATATTTCTTAGCAACTCCTGTTTGTTGACCCTGTTTACCTTTGAAGGCTGGGCAAAAACTAACATACTGTTGCCTGCATCCCACCAGGTAAGAACAATATACAATCTACAAACATATTCAGGATGGGTGTGCATGTGGGTGTGTATGTATATATGTGTGTGTATATATACATACCCATTCATACATGTGTACATACATACACATATATATGTACACATATAACCCATTGTTCTGTGTGGGAGGACAGAAGGCAATGGTAAAAGGAAGTATGATGGATAGAAGGCATATCTGCATAAAATACTTGTTAATAAACTTTTTTCCCCATTTCAAAATAGAGACGTTTAAGTCCCTTGGCTATTTTAGTCATTTTTGGAGCAGCATCTGTTACAAAGAGAAGGATATTTCGCCTTTTTACACCAGTTTCATAAAATCATCAAAGAGCAGCAGTTTCATAAAATCATCAAAGAGGATAGCATTAGTGGAATTGTTTATTTTTTGTAGAAATTCACATGTTAGACAAAATACTTCACCAGGACTTATCACATTTCAGAGTGCCAATAATAACACTGGCTACATATCATTCTACTTACATATTTCATCTATTGAAACCCATATTTTATTGTTGTCATCAGCAGATCTTATTTTTCCTAATACATAGTCATAGCAGGCAGAGATGTAATTTTTCCTTGGAGCTGATTCATTTGGAATCAAGTGGCTAGTATACTTCTCAAAATTTCCCAATTTCCTAAAAAGATATTTGAAGAACCATCATTGTACAGAGATCCTTGTACATTGTACAAAATTCTAACAGGGTATTTGATCAACCTGCAGTTGTAGAAAAAGCTCTCAAAAAAATAGGCGTTGCCTATTTTCAGTGAAAGTAAATTTCATTAAACAACTCTTGTATTTTGTGGTTTCACAATGTTGAATAGTAAAATTATTATGAGCCAATACCTTAACTTCACACAATTTACAAAACAAAACATCACCATCACTACTGAAAATCTCCCCAAATTCTTAAATAAGACGCTGTAATTTTACACTGGCTGAATATCTATTTTTAGGCATGGTGAAATCAGATGGCAACTTTCATGTGACCACCATCTCAAACATACACACACCTGAGTTGTGGAACAAATAAAAAAGTAAAACAAGCAAATTTCTCTACTTTTTTCCAAGCCTGTTCAGATGAGAAACCTTTGTTTTCTCTCTCTCTCTCTCTCTCTCTCTCTCTCTCTCTCTCTCTCTCTCTCTCTCTCTCTCTCTCACTCACACACACACACACAGACACACACACACACACACACACACACACACACACACACACACACTGCTCTCTGAGTTGGGAAACTAAGAGGCAAATTCTCAACTTTCTTTGCTGCTTAAACTTGCTGGCTTACAGAAGGGTTGCCAAGGACAAAAATATGATCAAAATATGACATTTGTTACCAAATTAAGCAAAAATATGACATAACACTTAAAAAGTCAAAATATGGCTTTTTAGGCAAAATATAAACATTTAATTCTCACCAGATAATTCCAAAATATGTTTTAATTTACTTATAAATTTAAATATAGGTTCCAGAAAAAATATGACACGTTACAGAAATCCTTGCCCTAGTCCAGGAGTAGGCAACCTTGACTCTTTTATGATTCCTGGGCTTCAACTCCCAGAATTCCTGAGCCAAGGTTGCCTACCCCTGCCCTAGTCATTACAGTTCACTGTTTCAGTGAACATGGCCAAAGGAAGAAAGAGATTGCTAGATTAAACTGGTGCAGGACCATAATGATGAAGCTGAATCATATTGAATATAAAGCCACCAAAGTACAAGAAATTGAAATTTATAAATAACAATGAATACATTTCCCATGGACAAAATGTGGCTGCTCATAAATAGCTCCACCTTGCAGTCATTTTTGTATTTGTCTACCATTCATATTGTCATTTGATTAACTAATCAACCGTTTTTTAAAGTGCGAATGTGTTTTTACACTTCAACCAAGACAGTGTTAACTATGAAACTATAGATAGCAAAAGAGATTAATTATCTATTTCAGAAGTCTCCACACCTTCTGTATCTGAGAGAAAGGGAACTATAATCTATTCAATGTGTGGTTAACAAAATAAAATAAAAAGTCAAATCACTCTGGACAAAGAGTTCAATAATATTTAATGAAATTGCAAAACATAACTATGTAACTTTTTTCTCAGCCTCAGTTTATTAAATGTATTCTCCTTTAATGAATCATGAAAGGACCTTAAATAAGAAGCAAAAGTAACCAATGTTAATGGCATTCAAAGGGACAGGGAAGGTTGGGAAATTAATTATTACTTTTAACATACATAGACTATTATTTGGTAGTTTTTCAGTTTGGTTGTAGATTCTTGATTCTTAGTATAATGCATTCTCTATATGCTCTCAAGATATGAAGGGTACAGTTAAGAGTTCATTAAGATTTATTAGGATACTAGAGAAAGCATTGTTTGATGGACATTGTAAGTGAATGTTAAAAAATTCTGCCATGGATATTTCAAATTCATTTTCCTACCAAAGGGACTTCAGTAATCCAAGTAGACTTCTAGAGCATAAATCACTTCAAAATATGTATCTGTTTAGATAGATAATCAGTTAGTGACAACTGGACAGTTGAGATATTAAATCCAGGAGTATAATGAAAAACAAATTTGAAAAGTGAACTTGACCCTATAGAGAGAATACGTCTTTTCTGGGGAAAAATGAATACAACAGGTAAAATGAATTGGAAAAA